TGTATGACTATGAAAAATAAAAGATTTTAAGTCTCAGAAATAGTGCATTTTACAGCATATTATCTACACCGTCCATTTTCAAGATTTTCATATGTTTATAAATCTACTTGATTTTAATCATTTTTTAAATTTAAAACTTTATAATTAGATATAAAAATAGATTTTGAGATAATCCTAATAAAAAATTACATCAAAATTATATACCATGATAAAATTTGAAGGTGTACCTTACCTCTCTTACGGATGCATCCGTATGCCAACTACACTCCTTTAGAGGGTTTTTAAAAATTAAATAGAAATAACATTTTGGTAAAATTTATCAAAATACATCTCACTTTCCTCTATTCACATTGAGCGCTTGTATTATGCTCCTAAGGGAGCATTGTTTACATGAACTCCCTCAGTCAGAAGACCTACTTGGGAAGATTTTTTTCAATTTGAAATTTTGGGAATCACTTAAGAATTATTAGATGATAATTATAAAAGATATTGAAATTTGAGTTTTTTAACACTTAGATCTTACCATTTAAAAATTGGATAGTCTCTATTCAGTCTCGAGAGATTATTATTTTTCAAGTGCATCGAGGGAACATTTCATAATTTTTTTTTATTGAGGTTAATCTATGGGTTGAAGATGCTGCATCCCCAAAAATTGGAGTTTTAAAATTAGCTCTAAGTGAGGTTTTGAAAGTTGGACTATGTGATTAAGCACAGTGTATATAAATTCAAATTTTCCTTATTTTTTTTATTTTTACACCGGCAAGACCACTCGCAATGTCCAATTACAAACAAATAACTCTTGAAACAAATAAATAAAAGAAAAGAAACATGGTTCTCACTCGCTACCACTATTAAATACAATTCTTTAAATTAAAACATTAACTCATTGCTTTATAGGAATAAAAGAGCTCAATACAAAAAAAAAATTTAAAGAAGTAAAATTGCCGGATATTACCTCAATTGGACTTAATATACCCCATGCTGAGTCTCCTCTTTTTTATGGTACTTGGGATTTATGATCTTTTTCTTGATTCTCCTGCTATGACAAAAACTCACTCAATGACATATGGATATTGATCTATAATCAACTACCTAAGACCTCAAGACCTTAGTCTTGCTCAAGCCATCTTGACTTGATCTTTAGAGAGATGGGAAATAGAAATAAAAAAGAGAGTGAGAGATTTACTAACTAAGGGATGCTTCACAAATTAAGAATCAAACCCAAGTTAGGTTGTGCAATTTAGAACCCACAAGAGAGATAGAGAAAATATAGCTTGGGCGTGCCCCACTTGAGAGAGAAAGAGAGAGCTACTGCTTGAGGCGTGCCCCATTTTGAAATCAAATATAACTCTTAAAGAGAGGAGAGAGGAGGTATAGAGATTTTGGTAAGGGGGAGAGTCCATTTTTATAGATTCTTTTGTATCTAAGGGTTTGCTATAATTCGTATGATTCAGTGTTCGCAAAATCGAATCGAAACGGTTAACCGGACATGGGTCTGAAAGTAGTTTAACTGGCTTAATCGATAAACCGGTTGATTCAACTGCTCTAACCGCGCAAGTCCTGGGCGGTCAAAAAAGTATTGAAAAAAAATACAAAAAAAATAAAAAACCACTAAGATATGAAAAGTATATAAAGAATGATTAAAACAAAACACATTCAAATGAAGTTGAAAATTAATGAAAATTTTTTTTTTTAACACATTTTATATTTTCCAAGGGCTATTTTTAAAACTTTCTAAAAAAGATGGGAAATATAAAAGTGAATATTAATGACCAAAACAATTTTTAATCTTTACCATAATGTAAAGAATATTTAAAATTGCATTAAAATCAAATTCCTTATTTTTGAAAATTTATATACATTTTTTTTAAAAAAAAATTTAAAATATCGGTTGATCACCCTAACCGCTCAAAACCGGAACCGGTCACTGACCGGTTCTTATCTAACTGGGTGGTTAGATCAAGTGGTTTTGCGAACAATGGTATGATCAAATCTTAACCCGTCGATCTATGGAAACTTGTGGGGCAAGAGATATGAGCCATCAAATCTTTTGATCCACCGTCAAGATTCAAATGAATGTGCTAAAAACCTTATCATCTATTTCCTAAACTATTCTCATCAAATATTTAAATAAAAAAAATATTACACATAGTTTAGCTTTTATAGATATTCTTTCCTTATTCACATAATATTTGAATAGTCAAATTTCCTTAAATCACATAACATTTCATTCTTGTTTCAATCAAAATCTCTACAAAACAACTTCCATTAGTTTTTTAATTTAATTGATTGCCTTGATTTGCAAAATTAGTAAGTAAAATAGAACCCTCACTAAGTGGGGTGTGCCACCCATGGGCCCTTATGTGGGCCCCACACACATCACAATAGTGAGCTTGGTGGGCCCCTATGGCCCCTCACAAATATTTATGAATAAAATGATTTTTAGAAATAAGTTTTTATTTATCTTTGATTATTTAAAACATTAAAAATTGATTTCTTTTATTTTATAAATCCAAATGATAAAAATAAAATATCAAGAGAATCACAAAAATTCAAATAATTATTCTAAAAATCATATAACATAAAATTAATTAAAAAAATGAATTTTGATGGAAACCATATCCGTAAAGGTCGAGAAATCATCATCATCAATACACTGCAGCACTCCACCTTCAACTGTGGACCACGATCCACATTAGCTTTTTAAACCGACCTAGCAATTCCCATGACCGATAGCTCAATGCAGGAGCTCATGATACTACGATGAGGTTTTAGCTCTGCTTTTAAAGGTCAATCATTACACACAAGAGTCACACAGTCCCTCGGCTCTCATCCGGGCATATTCCGACCAAATCAAGAGCTAACTCACTAAACCCTCATCGGTTATTTCTCTACACCCAAGTACCTTTGGTTTTTCCAACTCGGTTGGCCTAGCACTTCGAGCTTAGTCCGATTATTGGCAAATCACATTTGCCTAGTATGGTCTACAAGAGGACCACACTCCCATTAAATTTATGTTTCACTATATAAAAGGCTCGTACAAATTCTCATAGGGCCTTCAAATGCCACATAAACCCAATAGGTTTTACCTCCTATGGGAGGATAATCTCTTTTGGCTTTAATATTTTACCCTTTTATCACTATTTAAACTCAAAGTCATGTGTGAATTTGGATGGGCATTTTGAAATTCAATCAAAATAGATGAGTAAAATGTTAAATAGTGAATTCCTTTGGTGTATTTTCAAATTTCCCTTCATATTTTTTTGGATGCTTTTTTATTAAATTTTAATTATTATTTAGTATTTCACACATCTAAAAACTAGTGACATGTGATCATGTATTCTTTGATGGCCTATTTAAAATTTGATAAAAAAATGACTAGTTAAAATAATAACAAAGGAATCAAGTGAGATTAGTTCAAATGAAAATTTTGCATGATTTGTTAGCCTTATATAACTAAATTACTAAAGTTAAGAAGACCCAAATATCTCTTCCGAAGGGTTTCCAACACTGTTTCAGCACTGAAAAGCCTTGTTGATCATCGTGATCTTGAGATGCATGGATATAAGAAGAAAAAACTGATTTAATTCTTAAAAATAATATATCATGAAACACATTATGTAGATAATCTATTTTCAATATTTCCAATTATTTATAGATGTACTCAATATGAGCTACTAAAACCTTAAATTTCATAATTAGGAGTAGAAATAAAATTATGGACATTTCCAAAAATAAAAAAATAAAAAAATAAAAAGAAAATAGCTCTTTCAACTAGAATGTGGAGATGCGCGTACAAGGTGTTTAGACCCAGGCAAGAGGGCTTCTAGGGCGACCCCCCAACCTTTCTCAAGTGTAAGACCAAACATTCATGAGTTTATTATACCCTTGTTGTGATTCGCAATTCGCAATAAGGATCCACACAGGCCGGCCCACACCGGGCCAGCTTCATTCTCACAGAGCCAGCCCAAGCCCAGCTTAGGCTATGTTAGAGCTGGGCCGGGCCAAAAACAAAGGAAAAAATAAAAAAAGATGGTCAAGTCTAGAGGTGTTAAGGGACCTGGACCCGGATTTGAACCTGACCACGGATGGCAAGACTCAAGTGTAAGGCTTGATTCGAGCCCGATTATGGGTCCAAAAATTGGACCTGGTGGGTCAAGTCTACGTCCAAATGTTGGACCTGAACACTACTAGGGTTTGGGTCCGGGTTTAGATCCGATCGGGTCTTGGTCACTACAATAAATGTAACCACACAATTTTACATCCAATGGTCACGATTAATTGTGACCACTTTGTACCAAAGATAAATAGTTTCATTGTATACTTTTCCATATAAATATAGTTAAATACATAGATATTATAAATTTGTAGTCTGGTCCGGATCCAGGTACCACATTATATTTTTGGGTCCAAGTATGGGTCTAATGAATTCATGTATGGTCGCGTCCTAGTCCAATATCATTTTTGAAAAAATATCGTACAGACCCCTAATTCCCCATCGTATTTTACGGTAGACCCTCTTTCTATTTTTTTTTCAAGTGACATAAAAAAACCCTCAAATATTCCACCGTCCTCTCATATCTCTACTTTCTCACATTTATTCACTTTGGCCATAAAAACTAAGCCCAAAAAATTATTTTATTCCATCTCAATCCAAAAGCTTTTTTAAAAATCGTAAAATAAGGTTAAAAAAGCTTTTGAATTGACATAAAATAAAACAATTTATTAAAGCTAGTTTTTGTGGCCAAAAGTGAATAAATATGAGAGAAAAGAGATGAGAGAGTACGGTGAAATACTCAAGGATTTTTTACGCCGCTAGGAAAAAAAATAAAAAGAGAGTTTACCGTGACATAAAATGAGAAATTAGGGATCTGTACGATATTTTCCCATCACTTTTTCATGTCTGCACCCTGACCCAACCCGACCCGACACATAGTTAGCCCCTAACTTATTATGACCGAGCTGCCTTCCCTGCTTCACAAGAAGGACCATCCAAACCCTTCATAATAAACCAACACAATTCATGATACCATTTCCATAGGAAATTCCACTTTCTTCACTTTCACAAGAGGAGAAAAAGATGAAGGACATATTATAACATACACATTCTTTTTGGGTATAACATCCCTGTCAAGAACAAGAAACTCAATCCCAATCTCTCTCTCTAAAACCAAGCTAAATGCCACATGAATCGACCTTGCTGGCGCCACCATTGCTGTTTTCTGACACCGCCTGAGTTCCAGTAGGGGCCACAGGACCAAAAGAGAAAGAGAGGCGATGGCCCGAGCCCTTCATGGGTTCAGTGGGCTGACTCTGGGCCTGGAACTGGGTTCCTTCCTGGGTGCTTAGGGTTAGGGTATTGTTGATGGTTTGGTGTTCCACAGGCTTTCTTGAACGTCCTCTGTGAATGTGGCGGTCGCAGTACTTGTGGTCCGGGACCACATCGCGGGAGCACCGCCACTTCTTGCCGTCTGTGCGCCTGCACCGCCCAGGTTCGGGCTCTGGGTTCATCCTATTACGATACTCAAAGCACAGCCCACCACCAACTGTTCACATACATACACAAAAAGACTGGTAAGAGAGACATTAGAGGGCATAAAAAGATGGGGAGAAGAGAGGTTACATGGTTGTGTAAGGAGAGATTTATGGAAATATGAAAGTTCAGAGAGTGGGCTAGGGTTGACAATGTGACGGGTGGCTCGGCAAGCTTAAAAGCCCAGGACCAGGGCCACAAAATGTGGCCCAAGGGCCAGGCCAGGGCCGTGCATAAGATAAAATGTTAAAAAAGTTAAAATATATTGAAGCATAAGAAGTTTTAAACAGACAAAAAAAAAATTACAAAAAATGTTAAAACATGATTGAACAAAGCACGTCTAAATAATGGTCAAAAGTAGTGAAAAATATTTTAAAAACTTGAATTGTGCACACTACAGAGGGGTATTTTTTAAATTTTTTCATAAAATAAGGGAAAACTTTAAAATAAGTATCAATTGGCAAAGGACAAGGTTTCTATGTAGCCAGCCTGAATATTGTAGAAATGAGGGCTTGACAATAAATATATTTTTTAAATATAATTTGATTTTAATTTTTGGAGAATATATAATATTTAGCATGAAAATCATGAATATGAAAAAAAAATAAAAAATTAGAAATAATAATTATATTAAAAAAACATTTGAACCCTTAGTTACACTTTTTTTAGATGAATGGATGCTTTATACTTCTGGACCACATAATATTGTAGATATGGGTATGCATGAAACAATTTTCTATTGCCAAAACAATTTTCAATCTTTATCAAAATAATAATAAAAATTCAAAAACACATTACAAACAAGGACACGGTTTTTATGCGACCAGCCCGCATATTGTAGAAATGCGGGTTTGGCAATAAATATATATTTTAAATATAATTTGATCTTAATTTTTAGAAAATATATAATCTTTAACATGAAGATCATGGATGTGGAAAAAAACTAAAAATAATAACTATATTAAAAAAATTTAGACAATTAATTACACTTGTTTTTAAATGAATCATCTATTTGCATCCATCTTGGATGCTTCATAGCTCCGGCAAAGCACCAAACGATTCTGGTGCAAAACAATCCTTTACGTTTTGGGAAAAGTTTATATAGAGCCGAGGCTCTAAACAATCAACTTGAGCCTACCTCAAAAATTTCACTAGAAGAGGTTGTTCTGATGCTCAAATATCTTCAAATTGATCATCTCAACATCAAGAAGCATGGACATAAGAGAAAATGGACTGCTAAGTTCTGGAAAGAATGTATTTTGTAACACATTTGTGGACTGTCAAATTTCAAGATTTTCATAAATATGTCATTTACATCATATTTGAAGCGTTAAATTTTGAAAACTAATATGAAAATGTACTTTAAGGCTATCATGAAGATTTTTAATATTTAAAACCACATTTTTTGACACCATTCGATGGTACGCTCTAATTCGATTGTTTAGATCCTAAGCTCATACAAACGGCATCCTTACTTTTTAAGATTTATTTACTTTTTTTTAACTTGTTTTTTAAATACATGTCAGGACGACCAAAAACTGGATCTGCTAGTGCCCGATTGGGCTCTGACTGGTTGAGTTTGACTATTGCCGAGCCAAGCTGGTCTGAGCCAGATGGAGCTTAGGCCGACTCCAAAGGGTAGCTAGGCCTGGGGAGTAGGGTCGGGCCAGGGCGGGCCTAAGAGACCATAGTCCAGGAAGTACGAGTGAGAGTGGAGAGGGAGATTACAAACCACGAAGTCGAAACAGAGAAAGGAGAGCTTATAGCACATCCCAGGAGCTTCAATGGCAGAGAAAGAAAAGAAATTGCAGTATAAAGCGTAGAGAGAGATCAGAAATTCACAACAAGTGTAGAGAGTGAGAGGCATTACAGATGGGGGGACAATAAATTGCTTTTGGTGAACCCACGATGCTCTTCCAGATGGGGAAAACAAGCTGAAGAGGAACTGGTAACCCGGCGTTCATATACTTGAATATGAGGGCCTGCTGCTCCAGCTCCTGAAGCTGCAAAAACGTGAAGCAATACCGACCTGTTCCAAGTCCAAGCCCAAGCCCAAGCCCAAGCCCATGCCCCAGCCTAACAGTCTCCTCTTCTCCTCCACCTGCAAAACCCATAACACCACCACAAAGCCCACAAGCACATTACTACAAAGAGAGATAAACTATTCAGTTAGAGAGAGAGAGAGGACCATGACTCCATCTCCAAAACAGACACAAAGAAACCCAAATCACCATGTTCATTATCAATAAACCAATCTACACAAGAAGAAATCCTATATTGCCATATGTTCGAGATAGAGAGAGAAACCATATCACCAGGAGGAGAGAGAAACTCATGAGACCCGTCTAACTCCGTTGTAAATTACTCAAATCTAGAGAGAGAACCATGCCATCACACCTATGTTACATCTCTCAACAGAGAGAGAGAGAGAGAGAGAGAGAGAGAAGTTACAGTTGGTGCGAGGGACCTTGGAAGCGGGTGCGTCGAGCTCGAAGTGGGTGAGCCTACTTGGGTGGGAATGGTGCTCCTGGGTGGCCATCGCCAAGGGAAGGGAAAGTAGGTTTAAGGATCAGTTGACGCCTGCAATACTACTGCACCTGCACCTGCACCTGCAAACCCTGTGGCTCAGAGGTCCTTTAATTGATTATTTAGTGAGCAAAGCTTAGGCCCAGTACTTAGGGAATTGGAGCTAATGCTTTGGAAATAGATTTTAAAGTTTAAAATGGTAAGTGAAACGGAGGCTCAGGCAATGGTGTTATAGGGTACGGGCCGTGCGAATTAATTAAGAAGTAAGTGCGGTGAGATGTGAGGTGATGGTTTATTCCGATGTACATGACTTTTCGTCATCTTCTTGTGTCATTTTAGAGACAAACTTTTTTTAATAAGGAAGTTATAATAAATAAATAAATAAACAAATAGAAAAAGGACAAGTAACCATAGGACTGGCAATGGACAAGACCAAACTCGAGATCTGTAGGTTGGACCCCATCTCGAGGATATGGATCCAAATTTTAAATCAAAAGATGGGGTATGAGTCCGGATTGACCAATTGCCACCCTTAAGTACCCTTGTAAAGGTTGAGATTTTGCAAGGCCATATCTAGTGGTTTAAAATTAATTTTTAGTATTTAAATTTTTAACTTTTAAGATATTTTTTTTAATTTTAGGGTTTTGGCTCATTTTTATAGGGAAATAATTTATATATGATTGTAGCGCTAAACAATCAAATTAAAGAGCACCTCAAAAATTCATTAGAAAAAGGTTGTTTCGATGCTTAAAAGCCTTCAATTATATCATTTCGACCTTAAAATCTATAAACAGGAAAAAAAATAGATTTCAATGCCTGAAAATAGTGCATCTTATAATGTATTATCTAGACCGTCAACTTTTCAAGATTACAAATGTCAATAGATATGTTTGATCTCCACTATTCAAGTTTGTTTTGATGCTGCAAAACCTTCAATTCAATCAACTAGAAAAGTTTGTTTCGATGTTTAAAAACCCTCGATTCAATCATCTCAATCTTAAGACGTAAAATTGTGGACAGGAGAAAAAATAGATTTCAAGTTTTGAAAATAGTGCATCTTGTAATGTATTATTTAGACTGTCAATTTTCAAGTGTTCAAATAGTTGCTCAATCAATACTATTTTTAATTTTTAAATTCTATAATTAGAGATGAAAATAATATTTCAACCCATCACAAAGATTTTTTAACTGAAAAAATATGTTTTGGCACTATTTAAAGGTGAGCCTTATTTTGACTGGTTAGGGCCTCAGCCTTATACAAACCACACCCATTAGTTAATTCCGAGTAAAAATATACCAAGGTCCATTAATATCATAGTAATAACCATGACTATTGGGTTTATCATCATTTAATAGATCGTTGGAACAGTGATTGCGAAGAAGAGTACATTTCATTTATTGAAATTATTGCTTAGGACCTAGTTTCTCTCAAAATGTCAAATCGTTCATAGAATATGTTAAGTCATAGTAATGCTTTCTTCAATTTTAGGAACGAATGAGAATTTAGCGTGTATACTATGTTCCATCAGCAGCATAGTTTACTTATGCTCGTTTAGTCAAATGATCTACGTGGGAGATTTTTTTTCTGAAATTTTGGTAACCACTTAAGAATCATTAGATAATTATTCTCAAAAAAGGAAATTCTTAAATTTGAGTTTTCTAACACTTAGATCCCAACCTCTTAAAATTGGACGGGTTCTATTCAATCGTGAGACATTATTATGTTTCAACTGCTTATAGGGTGAAATTAGGAATTATTTTTATTGAGATTAATCTATGCACTAAAGAGGTTATATCCCCAAAATTGGGATCCTAAAACTAATCATAGGTGGGGTTTTCCCCAAGGGAGTAAATGGACAATATACTCTTGAGGGAGTAGAATATCTTTTTGCATTAGAATTTTATGCATGCAAAATGCACCTAAACATGTGCGAGGGGATAGCATATATTGGAAGTCCCAACTCAAGGATCCTAGAAGTAAAAATATCGATTTCAAGCCATAAAAAAAGATCCATTGCATATCAGTACCATCCCATCTTGGAACTGGAGCCGACCGATTTTGTATCAGCCGATTTGCAATTCAGATTGCTGATTTCAAATCTGGATCGGTGTATTTTAAAATACCGGTCCATCCTAATGAAAAAGAAAAAAGTTTATATAAGGCAAAAACTTTATACCGTTAAAGTAAGGTACATATAAAAAATCAAATGGAAAAAAATGTTTCGAAGTTGGAAAAAAGTTTAATTGATTATCTGGACTTCAAAATTTATGGATAGAATAACAAATACAAATTTAAATTCTAAAAATAGTGCATATTCTTACAAATTATCTCGACCGACTGTTATCAAGATTTTCATGTATTTTTAGATGTACTTCAATATGCTTCATTTTTATAATTTTAAATTTTATAATTAGAGATGAACAAGAATTTTCAAGTTATTCTAAAGTTTATAACATCGAAACTACATCTTTCAATAAAATTTAGAGGTGCGCTTTAATTGTGTATGGTATAAGGTAGGCAATTTTGACCAACCTCACCAAACAAAATAATAGATTTGAAGGATACCGTAAGGTGTCTTTCTTCTTCTTTTTTTTTAGGAAAATTACACCTATGTATGTTATTTTAAGCATTATTACAATTTTACCTAAAATTTTCACTTGTTACATTCAAAATTTTGGATATTACATGTATACCCATTTTTAGGAGCCCTGAAATTATTTTCAAAGTTACCTTATTTTTGGATCTTCCATATTCAAAATAAAATAAAATAAATCAGAAGTTTACGATCTGAAATTGCCCTATTATCAAATCTTAGGATCCAAAAAAAAAAAAACAAACAAATCGACTTTCAAAGTTTGAAATGTCCCTATTTTTGGATCTTTAGGATCTGAAATAAAAGCAATTTTGGACCTTCAATGTCTGTAAACTATTTCGGGCCTTAAAGCTCCGAAATAGCATGTAGACGATCTTGAAAAGAGCAAACATTGAGTTTTCACAATTTTGACTAGAGTAAATTGTTGATTTCTTAAAAGAGTGAACGTTTGAAAAATTTTGTGCTAATGTTTTTTTTTTTTATATTAGTTGATAATATAAAATATTGAGATTGTATACAATGAGACCATTTATTTTTGATACAAGGTGATCACAATTACTTTCAACCATCCGATGAGAAATTTAATAGCTTGGATGTGTCATAAAGTTGGAAAATTTTATTTTGAAGTTTGAACTTAGTCAATGGAATAATTGCAGCCACCCAATTTCACATCCATTGGTCAAGATTAATACGACCACCTTGTACCAGAGATAAACAGTCTCATTTTATACTTCCCCTAAAATATTTGTGGAGTGATTTTACACATCTTATTGGTTAAGTTTCATCCGAAGATTTTTTATTTTTTGAAGTCCAAAAAATAAAAATTTTACGATTTTGAATATTCAAAAAATTCAATCATTATTAGTTCATGGAAAAATAAATTTCGGATCATTTAAATCTAAAAAAGGCAATTTGGTCAACTTTTAAAAATATAATCAAAATGTCACAATAACATATAAAAATGGACAGAGTAGTAATAATGAAAAAATTTAGGTGAAATTGTCATAACACTTAAAATAATTGATATATGTGTAATTGTATATGTGTAATTTTCTCTTTCTTTTTTTTTGAATCAAAAGGTGAGTTTTTTTATTTTATTTTTGGGAAATAATTTAACAAAGGATGACATGCCCCTACCCATATTTTTTGAATTAGATAGTAGTTTCTGAAATTATAAGTAAAAATACAAGCAACAACTTGCAACTGAGGTACAAATGTGCTACTACCAAAAATGTCAAGCAATAAAAGCCATTACTTCCAAATGAGCTATGGGGTATACTGTCAACTGTTCCTTGCAAGTTGCAATTGAATTATGGGGGTGTGCTACTAGTAAATACGTATAAAATTATGTGGTGTTACCGGCGGTTCACCGACCTCACCCCATATCCGTACGGAAAAAAGTGAGTTGTCTCTTCAGTTATGGTAATTTCGTCCATACGCACGTTCTTTTATGTCCGTCACATGCCATGGCACACTACCTTTGATCAGAGCCGTCACTGTCGACATCGAACAGTACATATACCCGTGATCATACGAAATGCATCACTCGTTACTCTCCTGTTTGTACCAATGGAACTGCAGATCGAGATCGAATCACGCGAAATTTTCGCAGAAGTTTCGGCCCACGGTGAATTTTCTCTTACAGTGGGGTGGAGCCCACGTGACAGGTGTCTGTCACAACACCTTTTATCCACAAGGTCCACGTCATGCATTCATGCACAGTAAAAGCGGCGGCTTTTGCTCCATTTTTAACGATCCAGATCTTTTCCGAAGAATCTGACGGCCTACACTATCCCGTTGTACCAGATTAATCTGCAGGTGTAAATAATAATGGAAGAGGAGAAAAAAAACAAAGAAGTTGCCCTTCCTTCAAAGTTTAGGATAATTGTTTGATACGTCCAAACCCGACATGGCCTAGGGTCGAGTCTAATAGACGGACCAACGGTTTGGTCACTGCTTGGGCCCACAGGTTTGTAATAGACCAGGTCTTGGAGTTAATCTAGGCCTCACCTAGGCCTAGCCCTAATCCTTGTGGGCCCGGTTTGGCCTATAGCTTTGCTATTGTCCACACCTAATAGATACAACGGAAAAAAAAGAAAGAAGAAAAAAAGTTTATATAAGATGGACAATTTAAAATGTAGAATTAAGATGCATCTCTAAAATATTTTGGAAAGGCTGTTTTGATGTTGAAAAACAATGATATAAAAGAAAAAAAAGAGATTTCAAATCTTTAAAAATACTTCATCTTGTGACACATTAGTTGGACCGTTTATTTTCAAGATTTTCATGTTCGACTTGATTTGAACCACTTTTGAAGCTTAAAATTTTATAATTAAAAAAAAATAGATTCTTGCATCATCTTAAGAACTTTCGACACCAAATTGCATCTGGTGACAAAGTTTGGACGTGCAACTTAATTTGATTGTTTAAGGTTGCAAAAACCACACCCATTAAAGGAAAAGATAAATGTAATGTAAAATAGTTTATGAACACACTTCTTCAATTACATCGATACATTGAGTAGCTATTCATCTTGTAGATAGATGTTAAAAAATGGTGTTGCCAAAGAAATTTATAATTTATGGTGTTAAAATTATATCAAAAAAATTTATCCTTTTTTTAAAAAAATTTATAATATCATTATGGTTGAGATTTTAACTCCCTAAAATTCTAGATTTTTAACTCCCTAAAATTTTAAATCAACCGTCACAAAAAGGCAAAATCAACCGT